GTTTCAAACCAATGCATTCTATTTCAAATTCTGCACATTCAGATTCAGTTCCTGCTGGAACAAGATTGATCCCACAGAGTCACTGCTCACAATCTGCTGAGTCAGCGCTCCTTCAGACGAGGCCGGTCTCCAACACGACTCATCCTCCAGCATTAAAGAGCAGCACCAACTCCTCTGAAGTGAAATGGGACTAATGAACTCTTCCAGCTCCTCTTCACCACGTCAGAGAGTTAAAGCTGTGGAATCAGCTCTGAGAGCACGAATCCAACGGTTCAGGAGGACGAGACGTTCCACGTCCTCACCGTCCACTTACACGYTCCCTCGTGTTGCCTTCAGGGACTAACTGTGACGTCTGGAATTGGATTTGATTCCGGGGGATCACGGCCCTCTTTGAAACTCGCAGACATGAAAGAAAACCATCACATTAGGTCCGGCTTGCATCACTCGCCTTTAAAGCTGAGAACACTTTGAAAAGGAGAAAGTTTGGCCTTTTTTTAATGTAAATCTGAAAGTCAGTCGTGYAAAAAGTAAATCTCAAACGGCTGCCGTCGGGATGAAGAGGTCTGTAATGTCCCATCATCACGGTCCGATCCGGCWGCAGGAGACCCTCAGGAACCAGATCGGAGGCGTCTCACCTCACATCACCTCTGAGCCCGGGACCAAATCTCCACATTTCCTCCTCCTCGGCTCCGAGAGCTAGAGCCACCAGAGAGTCGCCTCGGCTCACGGCGCTCCAATTMCAGGCAGCATAAATCTCCAGCAGAGGAAGCTGCAGGAGGACAGGAGGGAGGTGAAGGAATCAGAGGGCGAGGAGCGGCAGCAGGTCCCCGCTGGAACGYCTAATAAGAGCCAAACGTCTCCAGGGAAATCTGAGCGCCGACGCCAGCAGCTCGGCCGAGGAGTTCCTGAGAGTTCCTGCCTGCAGAGACAGCTGAGCACAGAGMTGCTGCTTGACGCTAACCTGTTAGCACTTCGGCTGAGAGTTAGCCAGCCGTGAAACTGAACAGGAAACTGTTAGAAAAAACTATGGTGCAGWATGAGGGCCAAGAGTATTGCACAAACAACTGTTGCTRCATCCTTGTAGCAGRAGGYTATATCTATTCCTAAACMAGCTAATGATCTGATTAATGATAGGCCRGCACYGCTAACTGAGMRGCTGGACCTGCTAACTGAGAGGCTGGAGTTAGCAACTGAGAAGGAGACTATTTATTTGTGTTAGCATCAGAGAGACTAACAGCTAGCATGGATAAGCTGGTATTAGCATTGGAGAGGCTAGCAACTAGCATAGATAAGCTGGTATTAGCATTGGAGAGGCTAGCAACTAGCATGGATAAGCTGGTATTAGCATTGAAGAGGCTAGCAACTAGCATGGATAAGCTGGTATTAGCACTGGAGAGGCTAGCAACTAGCATAGATAAACTGGCATTAGAATCGGCTTATCCATGCTAGTAGCTAGCCTCTCTGATGCTAACACAAATGAATATTCTCCTCATTTACCAGCTCCAGCCTCTCAGTTAGCATTGCCGGCCTATCATTAATCAGATTAATAGCTGGATTAGGAATAGATATAACCTTCTGCTACAAGRATGTAGCAACAGCTGGTTGTGCAATAGTCTTRAATTTGGCCCTCATACCACACCATATGGATCAGGACTGAGAGAACCAGATCCTGAACCAGATTCTGAAATGAGCTCCATCAAGGGGCGGAGCTTAGAGAAGTTGTTCCTCTGAGCAGGAGGAGGAATGTCACCTGATCAGGTTGCCTCTGATCATCCGTAAAAGCCCAGAGCGGCCTCYGAGCGGTCCCCGGACCCCAGCTTTAGAACCCCGGAGCTTCAGGAGGATTTTAGCGGCTCTCCTCCTCAGCTCCTAATTAAAATTGATCTGCAGCTGATTAACTGGCTGCTGGTCAGGAATCGATGGGCCTGGTGACGCTGCTGCAGAGCTCAGGAGGGAAACATCTCAGCGTTTGATGTTCAGTCAATTAAAACCAGAAGCAGGGAGAATTTCAAACTGGCAGCTGTGGGAGGCTCGTTAAAAATATTACAGCTCCTTTAAACACCTGCCTCAGGACGCTTTCAGGTGAAACTCCGCTTTCATTCCAGTAACAAGAGAAATGTTTGCTCAGTTTCTTCCTTTTATTAAACTAAAACACCGGAGCTGCAAAAAGAAACATTTTAGCTTCTAATTCTGTTTTTTATCTCCTCTGAAACTTAAACAGTAAATATTTTTCTCTGAGTGAACACAAATCAGTTTTAGATCAACACAAGTCGAACTTCAAACTGAAAACCTAAAATAAAGAGCCGAACCTGTAAAAACCTGAACAATGACCTGAATAAAAAACTACAAGAGTGTGAAGAAATCTCTACGAGTCTGAGACTAAAGACAGTAAATTTTAAATATTATCCACTTCAAAGTGAAATAAATATAGATTTTAGCYGAGCTCTCTGCAGCCGACACATTTCTCTCAGCTGGGAAACAGATTTAGAAACATAAAAAAACAACTTTAACCTAATTTATTCATCCGCTGCATCTCTTTCTAACCCAACAAATTCATTTATTCAGAGTTTAAATTAAAAACGTGCATTTTTTAAGGTTTTATTTGTTGTGCAGCTGCAGCTCCGTTTAGCATTAAATTGTTTCTGTAACATGAGCTAAATGCTAAACGGAGCTGCAGCTCCGTTTAGCATTTAGCTCATGTTACAGAAACGATTAAATCAGCTGATAAAATGAGCCATAAGAAGGTGAAAGGAATAAAAACAGTAAGTTTATCATGTCTGGGGCTATTACACATGCAGGTCTCCAGCCTTCAGTGGGCTCCGTCTACTTCCTGGACTCACCGGTGGAGCAGGGTCCGTCGTGGCTCCTGGAGATGAGTCTCTGCTGTTTGCAGGAGGCCTGCCGCCTGTAGCACTCGTTCTGGTACGTGTCTCCGTTGGAACCGCACACCGGGTTGTAGTTCTTGTGGCACTGTGGAGCAAACAGCGGCGCGGTCAGATGAAAACGCAAACAGACCAGATTAAATATTCATGGAGAGAATCTGATGAAAAGCCTTTTAATTTGGTGCAACTGTGTGAAGCTGAGTCGACTCGTGTTTAAACTTCAACAAACYGCTGACATCACAACTCAGCGGGTAAATAATTCACACAAATGTTCAACAAACAGCCTCAGATCCCAGCTCTACGTTCATGATGCTCTTAAATAATGGATCTGRTCTGGATCTGCTCAGTCCGCAYTCAGAACCGMTCAAACAGATGAYKAGCAGAACCTGCAGAACCWGCAGAACCWGCAGAACCAGGACTTAATGACAGGAGCTGCAGGAAACACATTGATTTACCGATTCACTGGTTCTGATCTGATCCAGCAGGACTCAGATCCTATAGGACTCTTATCTGATCCTGTAGGACTCAGATCCTGTAGGACTCAGATCCTGTAGGACTCAGATCCTG